CTCAATTTTTCATTTGCGTGAGTATCAATTTTGGCAAGTATCAATGAATAGATTTCATTAAAACTTATGCCAAAAATCAGCCCATATATGCCATTTTTCCAATAGAAGAACCAAATGGAAACTGACAAACCAAATAAGCCAAGATCCTGCCACCTTGTTCAAGAAACAAAAGAAAATATCTAATCTAATTCGAACTACAGTTAAAAACCTCGGGTAAGATAAAAATTGCTGTCCTGAATAGACATTTGACGATTATGGATAAACACAAGTCAAACAAAATACGTATAAGCTGCAGTGAACCATTATTTGATTAGCAAAAGCAAAAAATGCCGTTACAAGACAAGATTCGTAGAAGTGCATTTCAAGAATATCGGAATAAAAGGATTCAAGGGAAGCTTGTAAATAAATCCCCTGAGAAAATAGCGGGCAACTTTTCTCGAGGCCAAATCTTCTGCAAAAATATGCATTAAGTGAAGATTAAGTTGCTGAAATATTTCATAAATAACAGAAGTTGCTTGGTTTTGCGAACGAGAAGAATGTTAACTGAACGCTTATAAATTTTTCAGTTAAAAGGAGAAAATACGCTAATGCTGCAATGCCAGGGAACTTTTCACAGGCCTCTCACAGATAGGTGGGTCCCATCTCATTAAAAAAAATCCAAAAAACATGGGACCCACATGTTTGTAAGAGGCCTGTATTCTTCCTGTAAAAATTTTCCTTGACACTGTAGCATCTCTCGAGAAAATATTGGCAATTTTTTAGTGGGTCTTTAGTATGTTATTTGTTAATTTATTAGTTGTTTTTTGTACTGATAGATTCCTAATTTTATGTTTAAGTTGTATTTAGTGAGGTATGAAGTTGATTAGTGAAATTAGTTATTAATTAATGTATTAGTTACTTAAATAGTGCACAAATATGTTAATGCTGTGCTGTCAATGTGAAATGTGTGCAGTCGTTGCTAGTTTCTTAAATTTTTACAAAGTGGGTGTCTTGTATAGTCGTATTACCGTTTTAGATCATCGATGACCGAAAAATATACAGTCCATTCATACTGAATCGAGAAATTATTTATTATTTTTTTGTATCACTTATAGAGGCCGTGCAAGCAGTTTCAAGTGGTGGACTGAGTGGAGTCAGGCCATTCGAACTGGATCGAGAAATTATTTACTGTTATATTGTATCATTTATAGAGGCAGTGCAAGTAGCATCGAATGGTGCGCTGAGTCGAGCCAAACCATTCTACCCGATTCATTTAAGATCCAGAGATTTGGTATGTTATAGTTTTTATGTCATTGTACAAAAATTTTCACATAGTATATATATATACACACTTAGCTCATAATTTTTCTCTAGTTTGAGAGTTTTTTATACGGAGGTGTTATTTTTCTTGTTTTAAATAAATTCTTTAAGCAAGGATCATGTGAACAAATAGAAAAATTTGTTCCATTTCCCAACATATTGATTTGCAGGATAAGTCTTGGTTTACATCATGTAACGGGTGTTGACACTCCTATATATCCAGATTATGTCCACCAAGCACAATCCTGATTTGCATTAAAAAATATATATGTAGGAAAGTAAATTTTTTTAACACAAAATAGGTATGCAATTTTTTATTTTTAACTCGCATCAATGTCTAAACTGATTAACCAAACCAAATCGATTTTGTTTGATTTGGTTCGATTTCAACAGTTGGATTGAGTTGGTTTGGATTAGAATTTGCCCAAACCGATCAAGACGATTTTGGTTTCAATTTGAACTCAAAACCAACCTAACCAAAATCAGTCCAAGCTTACATGTATTTAAGAGTGGCAGATAGGTTGGCTAGCTCCTGGGCTCGACTCGTCCCGATTCGGCACATGGACTTGACTTAATTTTAGATAAGCCATGGATTAAATCAAGCACAATTTTTTTTTTTAACAAGTCGAGCTGACTAATGAGCCAACAAGTTGGTCCATTTGGACTCGTAGGCTGATTCATTTTTTATTCTTTATATTATTAATTTCTTTAAAAAATTGCTCATTTTATGCTCAAGGGCCAAAGGATCGAATCGATTATAAAATTTGAACACTAGCCGAACTTCACACGAACAAACTCAATTCACCCATTGGGTCGAATTGAGCAATAGTGTCTACTAGCTGGATTTATTATCGATTGCCACCCTGGCTGGGAGACACATGCCGATAACTTTATTCCATGTGAGTTGCTATTTTATAAGCAAACCTATTTTGTCTAGTTCTTCTACAATGTTGCTACATATATAGCTACTGTTACAACTTGGCTTAAAGTGCTGAAGTGGAAATTGGAAGGGGAAAAAGGAGAACACAAAAGCAGCCAAAATCGATTCCCTGGTGAAGACCGTATTGGAAACCTAATCCCTAATTTTTACTCCATCCATTGCGGCTGCTACCAAGATAAAGCTCTCCTACTCTCCAAAATTCCAGGCGACATCGATCGTTCGGCTGCAAAAAATGTCGGTGCTCGGGTCTTCTTCCAGTTGCAGGAATTTTTTTGGTGACCACCGAAATACATCTGGCCGCCGCATAACCATTACGATCGTCACTCCACCCTGTCAGATGGCAACCCATCAACAACTTCCTCATTCGTCTTGGGTAACTAAGAAGAAGGTGACATATATGTGATTTCTCTGCCGTTAAAATTTCTATACTTGATATCCAGCCAACGGTCTTGCATGGCTCCGCTCGTCTGGCCCTTTTTCCGTTTGAAAGCTTTTGTTATCAATTTAAAATTTTGAAAATTGTGTGGGTTGGTCGTCAATATTGGTAGTGGAGCTCTTTGGCTCTTCTAGATTTTTGAAAGTGATGAAAGCAAGATTATATTTCACAATCGTCTTTAGTATCAATTGCATTATCTTCTTGTTTAATTGCCAGGACTAATAGTGAAGGGAAGTACAGTTTTCCAATCTGCCCACCAGATGTTTGATGAAATGCTCAAATGGCGATGTGATGAATATAGTGTAAGGACACCAGTAGTTGAACAATTTCGTGTAACTTCAACTAGAAAATATGAGATATCCACACAAAGTAAGATCAAGGTTGAGTGTGGTCAGTTTTCTTCAAGTCTTAATTGGTTTAATATTCTTATCCAAGGTTTTGAACTTAAACTAGAACAAGTAGTTCTGGTTTTCAAGCAAGACTAGTTTGGAATCCTTCCACTGAAATAACTTGTACACATTTTAAACCTTAATAGATGTCTAGAAAATCTGAAGTGGACGTGTATGGAATAGATGTGAACATGTAGAAAATCTAATGTTGATTAAGTTTTCCATGGCATGTGAACCTCTAACTGCTTAAATTTATTTGGTTATGATGGTATGTTTAATATTTTATCTAAAAAATTAAATTTGTGTTATGTTGATATGATTCTTTCATGCTGTTGAACTAGATTAGTTCGATGGCAAACAAGAATAGGGAAATTTGTCATTGTTGTAGACAAGCAGGACATACGTTGCCGGAATGCCCAAAAAAAAAAAAAAAACGATGCCCAAACTAGGACGCAGGCTTCACCAAATGGATGGAGGTGGAAAAGTACAATGAACATTGTAGAATTCCTGATTTTTAGTCCTAATTTCTAACAGATCCTGCAGCTGTAAATTAGTTTCCCAATTAAGGGATGTTATTTTTATCAACTCCAATTCTTAGGCATTTAGTCAACAGAGTAGTTAGGAAATTAAATCTTTCTTTGATTTAAGGAAGTGGTTTATTCCTTCTGTTTTTTCCTATAAATTGTACATTGTTTTATCAATGAAATAAGAATAAAGATTACATATTCTTCATGGTATCAGAGCAACCTCTGAAACCTAAGGAATTTCCATGACAAAGTATGGCATGGCTGCAGAAAATAAAACTTCTTCACACCATGATGTTCCTGCCACAAGTTCTAATAGCGGATCAGAGAGCAATCATCTTCTCATCACAGGCACAGGTTGAATGGAAATAATTACATCCAATGGTCGCATCAGTCATGATGTTCATCTGCGGAAAGGGGAAGGATGATTTTATCACCGGAGTGTCTACTCCTCCAACAACCACAGATCCAAAATTCAAACTGTGGAAGTCAGAAAATAATATGGTCATGTCTTGGCTAATCAATTCTATGACAAATGAAATTGGAGAAAATTTCCTACTCTACGACACTGTTAAAGAAATATGGGATGCAGCAAAGGAAATCTATTCCAGTAATAAAAATACCTCAGAATCATTTGAGATTGAAACCGTTCTCCATGACCTTCGACAAGGTAATTTATCGGTAACTCAATATTTCAATATTCTAACTCTTCATTGGCAACGATTAGATGTCTTCGAAGAACATAGTTGGGAGTACCCTACAGATGGAAAAAAATATAGGGAAATTACTGAAAAGAAAAGAATTTTTAAATTCTTAATGGGTCTTAACAAGGACCTTGATGAAGTTCGGGGAAGAATTCTAGGATCGAAACCATTGCCCAACATCCGGGAGACATTTTCAGAAGTGCGTCGTGAAGAAAGCAGAAGGAAGAAAATGCTTGGATCTCCATCACTGTCCCAGTCACTGAAAATTCAGCTCTTGCTTTACACGTAGGACAACACCACAACAGTGACTATCGGCAAAAGAAGGGTAGACCTTGGTGTAATCATTGCAAAGTACCAGGACACATTGATGATAATTGCTGGAAAATACATGGCAAACTAGTAGATTGGAAGCCCACAAGACCACCTTTCAACAAAGAAAAACGAGGAAATCATGTCTTCACTGATGAAAGCACCACAGCAACCAAACCAAATCCTTTCAGTAAAGAGCAACTTGAAGTATTACAAAAGATGTTTTCACAGTCATCACAAGCCCCACCTGGTAACATAATTGGAACTGGGTCCTTAGCACACACTGGTAATTCTTTAAGTGCTCTTACGAAAAATAAAGAAAAAAATAAATCTATGGATTTTAGACTCAGGTGCATTAGATCACATGACTGGAGATATTAATCTCTTTGACCAATATAATCCTTGCTGTGAAAATTTTACTGTGAAAATAGCTGATGGATCAGTCATGAAGGTTGCTAGCATAGGTTCTATTATTATTTCCAGAAATTTCACACTAAATTCAGTGCTTTATGTACCAAAATTGAATTGCAATCTCCCGTCAATTAGTAAGCTCACTCAAGAACATAAGTGTGTTACTAAATTCTATTCAAATTTGTGTGAATTTCAAGATTTGGATCCGGGGAGGATGATTGGCAGTGCTGAGGTGTGCTTAGGTCTTATCTTCTTAGAGTTGATGAATCTCTTAAAGGACAAACTCACAAAGCAGAAAGTGTAAAGCCCAAGAGTCAATTTTCTCAAAGCTTTTGTTTCCATTGGTTAATTCAATAAAGATACTGAAATCATGTTGTGGCACTACCGTTTAGGTGATGCAAATTCCTTGTATCTTCAGAAGTTATTTTCTTCCTTATTCAATAATAAAAATCCAAAGGAGTTTCAATGTGAAGTATGTCAATTTGCAAAACATATTCGCAGCTCTTATTTCATCAAACCTTACAAAGCATCTCATCCTTTCTCATTAATCCATAGCGATGTGTGGGGGGCTATCTAGAATTAAAAATATTACTGGAACTAGATGGTTCATATCCTTTGTAGATGATCACTCTAGGATTACATGGTTATTTCTTATGAAAGAAAAATTTGAAGCTCGTCAAATTTTCAAAAACTTTAACACTATGATCTAGACACAGTTCCAGACAAAAATACAAGTCTTAAAAATTGATAACGCCAAAGAATATTTTGACACCATCCTAGGAGATTATCTAGTTAGTCAGGGCATCATTCATCAAAGTTCTTATATGGACATGTCCTAACAAAATGGGGTAGCTGAAAGAAAAAATATGCACCTTTTAGAAGTTGCTCGATCACTTATGTTCACCACACATGTTCCTAAATTTTTTTTGGGGAGAGACAGTATTAACTGCTACATATTTAATAAATAGAATGCCCTCACGAGTGTTGAACTTTCAGACACCCTACCAAGTCCTTCTCCAATCATATCCTACTACTCGAGTCCTGTCTACCATTCCATTTAAAATTTTTGGCTGTTCCGTATTTGTCCACACACACCCTTAAAATCGAAGTAAACTTGATCCTAAGGCCCTCAAATGTATCTTCATTAAGTATTCCTCATGTCAAAAGGTTCTCCAATCATATCCTACTACTCGAGTCCTGTCTACCATTCCATTTAAAATTTTTGGCTGTTCCGTATTTGTCCACACACACCCTTAAAATCGAAGTAAACTTGATCCTAAGGCCCTCAAATGTATCTTCATTAGGTATTCCTCATGTCAAAAGGGTTATAAATGCTACTCTCCAATTACAAGAAAATTCTACAACTCCATGGATGTCTCCTTCTTTGAACAACAACCTTATTACCCCAAATTTGATATTCAGGGGGAAAACTTTACATTACATGGGAATACCAGCTTTGGGACATTGAGACTTCCAATCTATCTCTCACCACGAATCTATCTATACCTTCAACCGAAATTCCTCAATTAAATCAGACTCCAAACATGATTGTTCAGGTTGACATACCATCATTAGAGTCCCAGACAACACCATTAATTTTTGAACTGAACCAGAATCTCAAATTCCAAAGCAAAGCATCCCTGCTAATTCTTGTGAGTTACATGTCTACACTAGGAGAAACAAAACTTAGGAAAGAAGAGAACAACCACCTGAGCATAAATATGAGTCCGACCTGACTCCAAAATCTTGAGAAATTTCACCAGGTAACACCAGCTCCAATTCGCTCCTATTAAAATTCCTAATGATGATTTTTATTTGCCGATTGCCTTGCGAAAAGGTGTGAGGTCCTACACCTTCCATCCTATTTGTAATTTTATTTCATACAATAGGCTGTGAACTGGTTATCGAGCATTTTTGTTAGCAATCTTGACAAAGTGCAAATTTCTAACTCTATACATGAAGCACTTGCTGTACCAGAATGGAAAACTGCAGTTTTAGAAGAAATTCGAGCATTGGAACAAAATGGGACATGGAAAATATCTGATCTACCAACTGGAAAATGCCCAGTAGTATGCAAGTGGATCTTTACTGTTAAACATAATGTAGATGGAAGTGTGAACAGATTCAAGGCTCATTTGGTAGCAAAAGGATTCACGCAGTCTTATGAAATTGACTATCAAGAAACATTTGCTATTGTTGCCAAACTTAATACAATTCGCATATTGTTGTCATTAGCCTCCAACCTAGATTGGCCATTATATCAACTATATGTGAAGAATGCATTCTTTAATGAGACCTAGAGGAAGAGGTTTACATAGACATTCCCCCTGGTTTTGCGACTCAAACTACTATAAACAAGGTTTGTAAGTTTAGAAAATCATTATATGGTCTCAAACAATCTCCAAGGGCCTGGTTTGACAGATTTACTAAAGGATTAAAGAGCTTTGGGTACACTCAATTTTAAGTAGATCATACTATGCTTATTAAACAATCATCTACAGAATAAAGGGCGATTCTTATTATGTATGTAGATGATATCATCTTGACAGGAGATCATGAAGAAGAGATATTCAAGCTCAAAGGATTCTTAGCTAAAGAATTTGAGATTAAACATCTAGGCAATCTCAGGTACTTCCTTGGGATGGAATTGGCACGATTGAAAATAGGAATATCAGTCTCTTAGCGAAAGCATGTACTGGATCTCCTAAAGGAAACGGGAATGCTTGGTTGTAAACATGTTAACACTGCTGTGGATTTATCTATCAAACTGGGAACAAGGAAAGATAGTGCACCCATGGATAAGGATAAATACCAAAGAATAGTTGGGAAACTTAATTATCTTTCCCACACTAGACCAGATATCAGTTTCTCTGTCAATAAGGTGAGTCAATTTATGAATAAACTAATTGAAGAACACATAAAGGCTGTTTTTGGAATTCTAAGGTATCGAAAGATGACTCCAGGCAAAGGATTACTCTTCAAGAAGACTTCAAGCAGAAAAGTTGATATCTTCACTGATGCAGATTGAGTCGGGTCCATAACTAACCGACAATCAACTTCTGGTTATTGCACTTACGTCTGGGAAAATTTAGCCACTTGGAGAAGTAAAAAACAATATGTTGTATCTCGAAGCAGTGCAGAAGCAGAATTTAGAGCTTTAGCTCATGGCATGTGTGAAGCAATATGGCTAAGAAAGGTCCTTCAAGAATTTAATATTCCAGTTATAGATCCTATGAAGATATATTACAACAATCAATCTGCCATCATCATAGCAAAGAATCCAATTCATCATGACAGGACAAAACACGTGAAAATTAAGAATATTAACATATCACTTTTGAATGAGCAATATATATATATAAAACATGCTTTTAAAGCAACATATGTTTCGGAAAATATATTATTCTGAATTCATGTTTATCCCTAAAGGAAAACATATAACTAATGTTGTTAGAACATCGATTAGTTTGATCACTTGAATGATATATGATTATATAATATTTAATCATATTCTTCAAGATTAAATAATTGAATTATATATTATATTGAACAAGAAGTTCAATTTGATTTTATTATTTGACATTACCTGTTGGACTATCACCGAATCAATAATGATTTTAAATTAAAATTTTTTTAATGGATATTAAATGAAGAATCGTAAAATTTTTCAATCCAATGAATTCATATATATTATTTGTTCTTTTTATCGACAATTGATCATTAAACATTGCAAGCTAAAATAGGGATTGAATTTCCTATATTTTTGAAAATTAATTAGG